TTTTAATTTCAAAGTGTTGTCTGTTTTGTGTGTTTCTCCATGTAGTAAGATTTGATTCTTTCCTACATTTGGAATTCAGAGATTCCGATATTTGAGTTGGAAATTTGCATGACGTATTTGGACGAGATACTCTTCAATGCGATGTCTGATCTGAGTCAACTAGAATTATGTACCGGTGTTATATATAAACGGGTTGGTTTTGGACGCACTGATAGATGCGTTCAATGGGGCCTGCATTACCTAAGGGTCGTCTATCGCGTGACAGTGTGTGCATGTGGGGATGATAAGACAAGGTGCAAAGCCTCGGGACCGGTGATTAAAATCCAGACCAAGCGGCGGTTACTTGGACCTGTGAACCACGTCATGGAAAGAAGTGCCCGAGCGTTTTAACGCCACATTAAAACTCTACTCAGTTTATTAACTTTCGAACGGCAAATTCCGCGAAGTAGCGCATCGTGCTGAGCGTTAGGAAATAGGAATCGCCCTGCGTGGGCTCGCAGGTTCGAATCCCGGGTAAATATGTGTAAGGGGATTGCCGGATCACCGAGAGACCCCTCGTCGTCGTAGAGTTGATTCGCGTACCGCTGGTCGGTTAATAACTGGCTAACCGATCCCATGGACCTTTCCCCGAGCATCGACTTCCTTGTTTACTTCGTGACATTGGCCAATCAGCATAATGCAAAAATTGACGTAACAATGCTCCCTTTTCGCATCCGCTCAGACACTTTTCTCACTCAGACAGACTTTCAAGCGTGGTAGTAAACATTACCTCGTTTTCGCGTTTTTGAACTCTATTCGCTAGTTTTCATTTGTGTTTCGGAAACTTAAATATAAATCAGATAATTCAATTATCACTCTGTCTTCCTAGGTGTTTTAATATAATTACAGTAATAAAAAAATAGTGTAGAAATAGCTGTGATCCGGTATGTTAGTCGTTGGCTGTGATAGACTAGGCTAAAATTCTTTACCCGTACTTTTAAAAAACAGATTATTGTATGCGATGAATCATATTGATGGTTTTGAACACATACCCCATTTTACGGGCGCCAACTTGTTTGCAATGATAAAGTATAATAAGAAGAATTCGAGGGTCAAAGGTCGGGGAAAGGTCCATAGCCTTCCCAACATACCAAAGCTCTTCAAACCGGGTGCTCTGACCTTCGGTGGGTCGCAAAGGGGCTTTAATGGGAGTCGTGAAAAAGTCTTTTTTGGCACTAATTCATCGCAACTGTCTCAGCGAGCGAAGTGCCAAATGATGGGACTACATGGCTTGGCCTGATTTCTCTATTTGTTTCTACACTCATTTCTGTTTTCAACTCGCGAATGTTGCCGAGTTAAGCTCCTGTAAGCATTATTTGAACCATGGCCGTCTTTTGCACATGTCCGAAACAGTGATACGATTCAAAATTTTAATAACAGGTCTCATTTGTGTGGAACTCGCTAATAACAGATTTTCTCACTTCAGAAAATGTGTAGCCTACTTTTCACAACTTAAGCTACATTAACATTACACTCTTCACATAAACCTAACGCATATTATATATCCTTCGAAATGACAAATATAACGCTAGTCGGTCAGCTGCGGTGCACTTTAACCATTTGCTGCAGCTAAGATCTAAAACAAAACTAAAAAAGAGAACAGAAACAGGTTCGCGCAAACGCACCGGATCCCACCACTGTAAGATGGGATTTACATATTTATGCATGTACTTGATAGTTGAAATATACTTTTTTAGTTTCCAGTTTTCCCCCTAGACTCCCTGTTAGCTTTTAAACGAAAATCAACTTAACTGTTTTTGAACTTTGGTTTGGCGAAAACGGAAGAATTTTCCAAAGGCCGTGTTTTTGTGATATAAAGTAAACTTTCATTAGAACATAGTCAGATGCTATTTTTAGTGTTTTTGATATTCCAGATGTATTCCTTGTATTCTATGTAAAAAAAATCCTGAAGAAATTAATAGTCATTCCAAGTAACTTTTTCACGACTAAAATTAATAAAAAAGAAATTTTATTTCCTAATTCACAACTATAGTCCAAGCCAATTTCATGAATAGAGGCCCCCATATGTAGTCAGCCATCATTCACCCATTGTACTGTCATTTGCAAAGACGTTTACAATTCAAATATGTCGCGATAGTGTGTCGAAATAACAAATTTCAAACATCGTTATTTGGATGCAGTTGCAGGGTCGTTTCGCCTGGAAACAGAGATATTCACCAAGCAACGAAAACGTCAAGGCTTTCATTTACAGAAAAAACGTCTGTCACCTTCTTTAAACCAATTAATGCTATTTTCCACAGTTTTGGGGCGTAACCAATTAGAAAATAATAATTTAGCCAGGAACAAAATATGTGTTACACACAGTAATTACCACCCACGAGATTTGAACCTGCCCACGCAGGGTAATTACTAATCACGCTTAAACACGATGCGACACACGGGCCAAGTCTAAGTTGGTGGTCAGTCAGGTGATGCGTCGTTGGCCGAGTATATTCCTAGTTGTGAACTAAGTGTTGCTGATCGAGAAAGAGTGAGGTGGCGGTTTATGATTGTTTCATTCGCCCATAGAATGCCATTAGTGATATTATTTCATAGACGAGGCTGCTATGGTGTTTGGAAGTGGTTAAGGCAATGGCTTATTTGTTGCCCAGTGTGGTGGACACCTCGTGTGTCTCTTGCTGATTGGCATCGTTGGTAGCAGTCAGTGGACATATCTGCAGTAGAGATAAGATCGGGCCCAAAAATTAAAATTGCAACCCGACCCCGTGGGTATTAAACCCGACCCAGACTAATTAACTGGATTTGCAGGCATGACCCGGGCCATTAAACCCGACTAAAAATATAAACCAGATAATTCAAATATACTTTTGTCTTGAGTTTTAGTTTAATTGCAGTAATAAAAAATAAGTGTAGAAATATCTGTGATAGACTACCCTAAAATTCTTTACCGGTACTTTTAAAAACAGATTGTTGTATGCGATAAATTATAATGATGGTTTGAAACAAATACCCCATTTTACTCGAAACCCATTTTAAAATAAAATAAGCCCCGAAAATTTTGCAATGGTAAAGTATAGGAAGAATATATTCGGGGGTCCAAGGTCGGCGAAAAGTCCATTACAGCTTCTTCCGTTTTATTCAATTATTTCTTTTATATCAAGTATTCCTTGGTTTAGTATCCACACATAGTTTTAGTATATATTTTTTATAAACATATATTTATTCTTAAAAAAGAGAATCAGCGATAGAGAAGCCCGACCTGAACGCTATGATTTACATTTCAGGTCCGACCAGAAACTCCGGGTCGTGCTTCAGATCTTAGCTCTAATCTGCAGATTCTTTCACGATAAGGGAAAAACTAATCGTTTTGAAATACCACCTATGTTAGCGATCCCCAGTAGCTAGTATCCTAAATTCAAGAATGAAAATTTGAAACTCTGTACTTGGGGATGGGCAATATATAATACCGAATCCGGAGGATTCGAACCCCAAAGTATTCGAATCCAACAGGATTCGGTTTCCGCCTGTCCGGCGCCATGCGTCGATTTTCGCATTTCGGGTGGAAATCTCTCTCGTTTAAATAGACTTGCGTCTGCTCGGAAAGAACCCGTAAAATCGGTAAACTTCAAACACTGTAATCTCAATCGGCGTATTCTGGACAGGAAGTCGGCGAAGTACATCTCATGGCGAAGACTCGTTATTGCACCATTTTTGCATTTTCGCCCTGCGTCAATTTTGTATTTCGGGTTTCTAATTTATCAATTAAAGACGAGCGTTCTTTCTCGCGTGGAAATTTCTCTCGTTTAATTAAACTTGCCTAATCGCAAAGAACCCGTAAAATGGGTAAACATCAAACACTGTAATCTCAATCGGCGTATTCTGGACAAGAAGTCGTGTAGTACACCTGTAAGTACACCTTACGCCGAAGACTCGTTATTGCACCATTTTTTGCGTTTTTCTGTTTTGCTATCTAGCTAGGGTTTAATAATTATTTGTGCCGACTTACTGGCGATATTCCGACAATCTGATTGCAACAATCTTCAATTAAGCATCATTTTACATTAATGTAAATGATTTTCCGCGACCGGCGAGTTTTCCCCAGAAAATGATGCATGTAAACCAAAAGCCAGGCGTGAAATGTTATGACATTACTTGCGATTAATTTAAATCAAATATTATTTAGGAATAATTTCACTACTTTTATTACACCAGTTTCCGAAATACAAAGTTATATCGCAAAACACGACGATCTGTCGCATTTAAATTTCACTCTCAAAAGATTACATATCTTTCGGTTCGTTTCTATCGTCCGTTTCTATTTGATGGAGTGTCTGTAGAAATTTTATTCGCCGATAAATTTAAAAAAAGATGCAACATCTGGCGAAAATAGTTACGTATTGAGTTTGAGTAGGGCCAAGTTTGGGTAGATAATGATATGTAACGATAATAATAGAAAATGAATTTGTCTTTAGATGATATTAACTAATAACTAACTACGAAATTGCTTTACCGGAACCTTGTTTTGCACGTCTTGATCGCACAGAATAAAAAGTTGATTTTAATTGATAGTGGTTAAATTTAATATTTCACACTGGTCGCATAGGTTGCAGTGGCCACACGCTGGTCCTGCATCTAATTAATTCTCAGCGGTTGTGTTTTAGTACACTCGGCACTCTAACATTAATAATGATTTAATGCCCTTTCATATCTATTTTTGTATTTAACCTTACTATTAAAGTGTTTGAATCGTGTCTCAATTTAGCATATCAGTATTTAGAGATTACATACATTTGGAACAATTGAAAGCAAAAATATTGTAATATTCTTAGATGTTATTGTCCTGGGAGATCAAATGTTAAGGACATTTCCAAATAAATAATACATTTATAGAAATACATTTATAATTTTTTGACATCTAAATCCAGCCATCGAGAAAATTCTCACTATTTGGTATGAAAATAGAATAGGATTCGATTTAACTATTCTAGAATAGTAAATTATTCTACATTGCCCATCCCTATCTGTACTCTACAAACATTTAAATACCCAAATATATACCAATACCCAAAATAAGAGACCAACATTTGCAAGAGAAAAACAACAAACAAATTGAAAAACCTCCAAATTAAATTTGTTGTAAAGTACCAACTTCTTATACAACTATGTTGCAATTGAGTGAAGAAACAAAGCAAAATAGAAGTATAATATTTTTCAATGAATACTTCTTTAGGTACTTCGATTAATGGAGTATATATATATATATATAGGTTCCATTACATTTGAACCCACGTACATTTGAACCCATGACAATTGCACCTGTATGATATTGCACCTATGGATTTTTTTTTGTTTCACGGATAGTTAAACCCATACTAACCCTAACCCATGGGTTTTAGCACCCGCATACAGATTGAACCCGTGGATATACACATGGGTTCAAATGTACGTGGGTTCAAATGTACGGTCACCATATATATATGGTTTATGACAACAATTTCAATCAGGATTCAGCTTTATTACTTTAAATAAGTTTCCTGAATCATTACAATCATCTGATATAGGTTCGCTCCTGCATATTACAGACATCCGCCGTCCTTTTGGTATATTAGTTCCACGAAACAAAGATTCCTCATTTTTCAATATTTCATGAGTGTATTCAAATCGGATGCTAGAAAGAGATTCATTTCATTAATGCAATCATTGTACTTATTCAATAATTTTGAAGAAAACAAAAGATTGAATAATTTGAATCTTTTTAATTGTCATATATAAAAAACAACATTCTAGATAAAATTTCTGCAAATAAAGCATCATCAATATCCAAACTTTTGATAAAGATTAGCAGTATATTAAAATACTGTGAATAACATACCAACCTGTCACGCATTATGTATAAAGATCTCCTGTTCAATAGGACAGTTATTTGTTTTGATTTATCTTTTTCATTAATCAGTCTCATCACAGATGGTGTTAACAGACTCAAACCAGCTATGACTCGTCCACAAAACTAATAGGAAAAGAAATGTGTCTGAATAGTAAATTGTTTTGGTGTTCCCAGAGTCATTTAAAACTGTGGTCATCTGTGGACAGATTGTCTATGATGGATCTTACATGATGGGACATGGACATTTAAACGAAACTGTGACATTTCAAATTAAGTTCGGGGTGTTATAAATATAGAAATAGTTTTGAGTAGAAAATACAAATTATGAATCCTGTCAAACAATATGAAAATAAAGTATTTTGATACATTTGTTGCTTTATATACTGATGAGCACACGCTACAGATTTTTTTAACTTAATGAATTTGAAAAAATAATTGAAATTAGTAAAAGTCATAACCCATTAGACAATTGTTTTTCATTATTATTAATTAGTAGCATCATACGTACATACTATAATATATGTGGCCTTCACAGGATTCAAGGACTCAAAAAAATGTCACATAAAACAATAGTTTCAAGTTCTTTGTAATAGAAATATATTTCACACCTTCACTGAGTCCACATGAGGTTTGATGTATCCATCTTCTGCCAGGTCAAGAACATGTACAAGAGCACGTTGACTGTCTTTCTCAGCAAATGCGGCATTTCTCAACCTATTCAATATATTGGAACTTGTTTCTGACCAATTAGATACTTCTGTTTCACGATATCCCTGAATTGCCTGGATAAAAAGTATGATAAAGACTCGGAGGAATTTTTACACGCAACAACGCTTCAACATGAGAACTTTAGGCATCAGATCAGTCATATTTGTGGTGCATGAGTCAGTCCTATCATACAGAATGGTACATTGTGGAAATCATATTGAATTGTGAAAAGGACTTAGATAATTTAAGTTTTTTTTGGCCTGCTTAAATAGAAGTCAATGAATTTAATCAAAATACAAACCTCAAATCACAAGCATTCATACAAACATAACAAAGTAATATGCTAGTGGAAGGTTAACCATTTTCTCCCAGAACTTCATAAAAGAATATTATACATTTTCATATATTTAGATCTCTAACTCCTACGACCTACTGTATTTAGTCTGACAGTTTAAATTTACAAGTAATCTGTTACAGTAACTTACATCATCCCAGTGATCAAACTGGTATTTCAGCCTTTTCCACTTTGGCTCAATATCCTTCATTAAACACTGCTCTTCATCTTCTGTGATAAAGTTGTTAATTAAAACCATTTCTTTTTGTGCCAATGACATCAACTCTGGCATGGAGCAGTCATAACTATGTATTGATTGTGATACTGAGCAAGCATGTGTGCCATTAAAGGTGTGCTTGCTTAAATATCGGGGTGCCACAAGAAATGAGCGATGTACTCTAGCAAAACAGAGCATGTGGGATGGGTGGTCGTGAACAGTACCGATACGTATTAACAGTTACGACAGTACAATGTGCAGATGTCTGGATGTAGTGTAGGCCTAGTCCTGTAGTCGCACTTTATCACTGCATCCCTTGATTTATTGATGACTAATCACATATTTTTCTAGCTGGTTCTAAAACAGTAGGTTTTTACATTCTGCAAGAACATATGATTCTGAAATTACCACGGTAGCTTAGAAAAATTATATTAGTTCCGTGGCGCAGCCAGCTCGTTTTGAAATTTTCGAAATACCTGAATAAGTCGCTTATAGCCCCTTATGTACAGACATCTAGACATAGAGCAGAGACAATGCATAACTTTTTTTTTTTTTTCCTATTTCCCTGACTATGTTAACACTTGACCTAAATATAAATGTGACCCATAAACCTATACAAATCCACACTTAATCAAATATAATCAAACCATTATAGATTTTTGAAGGATTTCATCTATAGTTTCATCAAGAAATAAATTTTCTCGACCACAGCTCGGCTTTAATTTAATGATGCCTATGAGTTTGCATTTGAGAATAGCCCTCATGTTGCACTGCATCTGATAAACCTCATCGTATTTAACACTATTTCTGAATTCCCAAATCGTTGACTTTGCACAATTTATAATTAATAGTTCAACTTCACTTTGAATATTATTGAAAAATATTTTATCATAATTATTTTTATCCCAAAAATCGGAAACCCATTCACAATAACAAAATAAATGCATGCATGTTTCTTCATATTCATTGCAAAATACACACAACCCATTTTCATTGTTAAACCAATATTTCAATTTGTCCCCTGTTGGTAGGCCATTATGCGAAATTTTCCAAGTTAATATTTTGTAGTTGTTAGGAATTTCACCTTGCCAAATCTTTGACCAATCAATTGGCGTATTCAGATTAAATTTTTGTTTAAAGTAATTATCATATGGTGTAGCAATTTCTTTTATTTTTGAATAATGTACTTATTGTTTTGGTAGGTAGGTTTTCCGAATCAATATACCTGTGTATTCCAGGTCTGTTTTCTGTTATATTATGATTATTTGCTAAAATTTCTTTCCAACTTGAAGGCAAATTGTTCCAAACTTGCTGAATTTCAAAAGAACATCTATTTAAATAACAAAGCTTTCTCTGGTCATTTCTGATTATATCAACCGAGTATATTTTATTTGTTAAAGTTTGTAGGGTATTATCCAAAATATCTGCGACAGAGATGGCTTTCGATTGAATCCATTTAGATGAAAAAGTAAAATTTTGATCCTGAATTAATGGATTATACCATAATATTTCCTCTTTTACTTCACTGACATTCAATGGATGACAATGCATAACAAGTTAACAACATCTATGCTGCATAGACTATGCATGGCCAAAGAGTGCGCTTCTCTCATTCATGCGGGATAAATTGAAGGCCCTCTCGTTTTAACGATAGAATTCCAACCACTGATCCTGATCCTGAATTAATGGATTATACCATAATATTTCCTCTTTTACTTCACTGACATTCAATGGATGACAATGCATAACAAGTTAACAACATCTATGCTGCATAGACTATGCATGGCCAAAGAGTGCGTTTCTCTCATTCATGCGGGATAAATTGAAGGCCCTCTCGTTTTGACGATAGAATTCCAACCACTGAACTGGAAATGGAACAATCTTCTCTCTCGTTTTGCGTTGTCTCGGCGCGGGATCCTCTGATCGCCGCCATTTTGACCATGGGCAACTAGGACGCTGGTTTGTCACAAAGAATGTATACCGGAAATCTATTTTGCTACACCGGAAACGCATTGCTGTTCAATATAATGAGAGGCAAAACCAAGCAACGATCTTGTTGATGCCCCGAAGTTGGTGGAATGTCCGCGGAAACGATGGACGACAGAGACTGCAGGAACGTTTGAAATAGTTGGAGACTGTGGAGACAGTTTTGAATATCGAATTGTTCAAGAGTTTGTGGATCAATGGAGTTGTTTAAAAAGTCCTTCATATTTATAGTAAGAAAATCTGAAGTTAGATTGAAATGCAAGGAGCTTAATTCCTCTGAGATTTCTTCCTCTATTTGCCGAGGGGGCGATATTTGCGGCGCTGGTTTTTGCTTTGCAGCTAGGTGATTCTTGTATAAAGCAGCTGGTGGTTCCACTTCATCATCTTTTGAAAGAATGCGGTTTTCTGACGAGGAAAAAGTTTGGGCCGGTTTGGTAAACCAAAACTGGTTTTGTCTACCGACGCCTGCTTTCTTTTTGTAAATAAGGAACACTGTTTTGCCCACGATCATTTAAACGGGCCGAACTACCCTCTATCAAAAGGTTGGAGCAAGTGAGACGTGTGGGCAGAGTGGCATGAAAGTATAATATACTGCTCCTTTGCCAATTTACTGATTTTAAAGTCCGTATGTGACGTATGTTCACCACAGAGTAAAACGACATTGGTGCGTTCGTTTTTTGGGGGAAGGCTGGGTATGAACACAAGTTCAAATCAGTCATGAAAAGCGTCTTTAGTCATCCAACCGGAAGCAAGAGCAAAGTTATGACTTCCGACTGGAAGATCCAGGGCGTATGCGGGGTTCACACTTTTGCTGGGGAATATCACATACAGTGGTAGAATGAGTTCATCGACTCGAATACATGATAGGGCTGTTATTTGAGATTTGCTAGTTCCGGTGATGTGGTAGCTGCATTTTTCATAGGCACTCATTTCAATTTTTCCTGATATTGTATGCAGAGAAAAACCCGATTCATCACAATTGTATATTGCTGATGATACTGTAATATTATTCTCCCTAATCATATTTTCATCCTCGGTAAACCAATTTTGCACTTTTTACTCTGAACATGCAATGGCTCTGGCTAGTTTCAATTTTGCTGTTTTTTTTTCATTTTATATTATGGTGGCGAGACAAATATCCGTGCCACCAAAAAATCTTTTGGTCTATTGTTCTGAAAAGTCCCGACTGCCCTTCCGGATAGGTCCCGCATATCCTTTCACAGCGATAAGAATCTGTAATGGTATGCTTTTAGCTCAAAGATCAGCAGTGGGGTAATTGGGTTTGTACATGGTGCTGAGCATTAGAAATAGGCTAGCAATTGTACCTTTGATAACCATGCGCGGTTCCGCATCCCGTGATAGAAATTTTGTGCGGAAGGATTTCTGAACTTCTTGTCGTTGTAGAGGAGTTCAAGTAACCCCAACACAAAAAGCATGCATCTGAAATCTATAAATGGTTAGCTAGACCAATGAGCATATATACAATGAGTGGAAACTTCCAAATATTTGCTCATGAATCCCATGTACCCTGCATTTTTACGTCGTCCAGCTAAATGGTTCGTTGCATATGAAGAAAGCACATCGTTCGCTGCAAAAATCCCTTGTTTCAGCTGGGTCGAGTGCAAAATTGGCCGTATTGAAGCTTTTAATTTTTCGATTCGTGTTCGGTTTTGGGTTTCGAAGTATGGTACGTTGAAAGCATACTAACTATAAGCATATGCATATTGGGAATACATATCTATTAGGCAGAAAACGTAGCTACAGAACAGAATATGATCAATTTTCTTTCGAACACTAGGGCTCATTTTTGGGGGATGTATAGAATAACGAGATTTTTTCAATATACAAAATATGAATACCAAATAATAATATGATTAAATATGATATCAATTTAATAGCACGTTTTTATTTAAAATAGCTGATACATATAGATTATTAACCATTTAAAAAGTAGATTTCTTTCTATCGACTAGGACTAGTGGTTTTCGAACTTCATTGTATTGTGACGCCTTCCAGAAATATGCTCAAGTTGCGACTTCCCGTGAAACATACCGTACGTATTGATACATTTCAATATAATACCTTTTTTGCAATGAGTTTTATATAAACGAACAAACAAAACCTAACAACAGTCAGTGAAATCACATTTATTGGACCATGGTAGGAAAACCTGCTTTATATAAATACAAAATCGCAAATGAGATGGGGTGCACAACGCTTTTTAAACCAAGGAAAAACAATCGTTATCTACAGAAAACCGAATTTTCATAATCAAACTTATTTATTATAACACCATCACGAAATTGTGCGACGCCCTAATACAGATTATCAGGAGTACTTGGATGAGAGTTGAGTTTTCATGTGTTGCTATTTTTGGACACGTAGTGGACATAACGATCGTTTCAATATTATGTTGTTCTTGTTCTTTGACACGTTTTTAAAAAGTCGCTTTTCTCTTTGATTACTGGACTAATTGCTTTGAAATTTTCAGTGGTTGAAGATGAAATTTTTCTCCAGAAGGCTATTACTTTTATTTATTTCAAATATTTCTGTTAGCTCTGTAAGATTTGTTTTTGTTTGCTATGACGTCACTAAACGTTCTGCGGATATCGGACGCCATTTTGTGTCCAACGGACCATCTTGCAATTTCAATTCACGCTGTCACAAGACAGGACCTTCTAAAGATAGAGAAGTTCTGGTACCGTAACACAGCGCGGTGACACTGAACTAACTCGTAGCTGTCAAAAGCTTGAAAATCCATACAAATATGAGAAATAAAAAGATGAAACTTGGCAGGTGGGTAGAGTTGTGTTTCTTTTAACCATATTTGAAAGTTTCGCGTTTCTACATTTGAAGGAGGGGGAATAGGGGGTGTGCATTTCCGATACGTCGATAATATCTTTGTCAACCAATTTGCGGCCACCGTGTTTTCGCCTGTTTGATTGCTGTGATGTGGTGCTTTGTTTATAATTTAACGAGTTCTGTTCGAAATAACCGTGTTCTTGAAATATATGACGGTTAGAAATGCAATTAGAAGCCCAATGTTTTCACGCTGTCACAAGACCAACAATTGTCAACCAATTTGCGACCACCGTGTTTTGTCTGTTTGATTGCTGCATGGCTGCGTATGCGGTAGTCTCGACGCAGCATAAACGATGATCAAGGCTTGAAATCCGTGGTCGCACACTGGTCGTTCGGTCGCAAATACGTCTTTCGAGTGCCGTACTTTGGGGATTTGTATAGCTTCAACCCTTTGTCGTAGAAAGTTAATACGAGGTTTAGCGTGTAGAATAAATGCCGCCAATGCACCCACGGTAAAAAAATTAACGGGTTAGATATATTGGTTTTTGTTTTATAGCGGTTTGAATGAAATTGTCCGCAGACTGGCTACACCACCCTAGGCCTGGTGAGTTG